TCTTAGAATTGATATTCAATTGTATTTTCTTCTAGTTTTTCTGTACTTAGGTTGTAACATTTAATTTACCTGTAATTTATTTAGGTACACTGTTTAAGGTTACAGTCTTTTTTTTTCCTTCAAAATTTTCACCAATTATCCAAATGTCTTTTTCCCCACTGAGTTGCAATGCTGCTCATGTCCTCTCTAAATGCTTGCATAAATTCAGGCCTGTTTCTGCCTAACTAATCTGTCAAACTGATGTACAAGCTATGCTTTAGTATCTGCCAAAGCTAATATGCCTCCCAATTAATTTTCTTTGTCTTCAAAATTTTCTTTGCCATCTCCCCTGTTTATTCTTCCAGCTGAATTTTACAACAATTATATACAATTCTAAAAGGACTCTGTGGGGATTTTCACTGTAATTACACAAAGCCTAAAAATAAATTACGGACTGTGGGTAAAATTTCCACAATATCTTGCCTGGCTTTAGTACATCTGCATGTCAATAGGCGTTCAAAGGTGGAGAGAAGTTCATCTCCACGTCAGTGGGTAATTACCTGGGCAACCGAAGGCGTGTCTGGTGAGAGGTTAAGGAGAGGGGGTTGTCTCTTGCTTGCTGGCTTCTTCAGGAGCAGAGGAGAAAGACAGGCCCGGGAGTGCAGTTTGTGAGAAATAAAGGGGTTTTAAACTTTATTTCTCCCTTTGACTGATTTCGGTTTTTAGAGGTATTTTGCCCTGGGATTTCCTCTCTGCAGACTTACACGGACAAATTAACATCTTCCCAAATTTAACTTTGCCATCTAGGATGGTAAGCTTTTCCATATTTCTCAGCAAAATTTGGTCATTTTTTTTTCCACATAGATCATTGATATTTCAAATAAAGGTTATTTCTAGGTATTTTATATTTTAGTGTTGTCTAATTGGGATATTACTGGTTTATGTAGGGAAACCTGCTAATTTGACAGCCCAACTGACACTCTACTTGCCAACACATTCTTTCATTTTTTTAGCTCTCTCCCTCCAAGTACCGCGCCCAGACCTGAGCTCTGCCCTCTGGAGCCAGGTGGGATAAAGACACTTCACCTCACACAGGGCAGACTTTCATCTCTTTTGGAGACTGCCATGTCACCCATCAGCCTTCTTTTGTTCTGGCTAAATAACCCCAACTGATAAGATGAAAAGTAGTATCTCAGCCAAATATTCAAATGGGTTAGAAAGGTGGATTTGTGGTAGTTTAGACTAAAAGGTGGAGGACAAGGGGGAGCTGCCTTCTGCAGTAATCCAGGCTTAAAGGCTGACTCAAAGCTGTGAACATAGAAAGGGGTAAGTTTGAGAGATATTTCAGAAGAGCAAACATTAGGACATGTTGACGAACTGGATGTAAGGGTAAAGGAATGGAGAAGAAGTGTGAAAGATGGCTTTAAAATTTCTAGCTTGAATCACTGAAGAATGTGATTGGACTAAGAGAAAGTGTGAGAGATTGAGTAAGGGAGATAGTTCAGAAGGAAGTCAATTTCTGTCTTCCTCACCCTGACAGCACAATATATCTGAGAGGTCTTGTCCTTATAGACATGCTCTTAGGTAATAGAAAAAAACATGTCAGTCTCTGCCCAGTTTCTGGCAGAGCTTCTAAAACCCTTCTAATTTCCTAAGTGATGACAGCACTGGGAACATCTTTTGTTCTAATATTTGGTCTTTGATCCCAGTTCCTGACCAAGGTTCCTGAAACTTTTGTAAATTCCTAAGTGATAAGGGTACTAGGAGCATCTTTTGTTCTAATGAGGCGTCTCTGGGTGAGCTGTAGGATGGCTCTTCGATGGGGGCTGGTAATCAGTAAGAGCAAGCCATGATTAGAAGCTTTGGATTTTCAGCTCCCACCCGCCTTCAGAGAGGGCAGTTAATTGAAAAATGAAGTAGAGCTGATTGAAATTCCACCTGACAAAGCCTTCATATGATCCCAATCACATGGGGTTTGAAGGGCTTCCAAGCATGCAAACATCCATACTGGGAGGGTCACACACTCCAACTCCACGGGGACAGAAGCTCCTGGGCTCAGGACCCTCCCAGACCTTTATATCTCTTCATCTGGCTGTTCATCCGTGACCTTTATCATATCCTTTACTAAACGGGTAAAAATAAGTAAGTGTTTCCCTGAGTTCTGTGAGCCACTCTAACAAATTAATGGAACCTAAAGAGGGGCTCATGGGAACCTCCGATTTGTATCCAAGATGGACAGAAGTCGTGGGTGACCTGGGGTACCTGTGATCGGAGTCTGAAGTGGGATGACAGCAGTCCTGTGGGACAGCCCTTAGCCTGTCGGATTTGACACTCTCTCTAGAAAGTGTCAAAATAGAGTTAAATTGTAGACACCCAGCTGGTGTCATAGAGTTGTTAGATGGTCACACTTGGTGACCAAAGCAAAGTGTCCTGTACAAGTACAGGGGAAACACAGGCAGCAAACCAAGTTATTCCTCAACACCAATATTTTTCCATTTTTCCACAATATATTGTACACAGCAGTCCAGTTCACATACACATATAGACAGATAGAAAACAGATATAAGGGTTCCCATACTCCTGCAGACATATGAGCGTTTGGTCCCAGGACACTAGTGAGGGGGAGGAAAGGCCTAGGTATGTAATCAACACTCAACTGACAGATTAAGTCATGAGAACAAATGACTTTCTTCCCCTTTGCTGTCTGAGAGCCTGCAGTCTAAGACATGGCGACCAACACCCTGCCAGGAAAACTAATTATCCTGCCATCATCTACCCTCAGTCTCATATTCTAGGGGGCTCCAGGGGAAAAGAGATTCCAGCAGAAAGGCCACACACATTTTAGAGTTCAACGTAGGTCTCACTGCCAACCCACAGATCATGTGGAGCCAGAAATTACTGTCCTTTAAAAAACATCTCCTTTATTCTCAGCCTGGATAAGGATTTTCCTTAGAGAAAGAGGAGCTAAAGAATATTTAGGTCTCCAACTTTGAGTTTCAAGGCCATGGTGCTTAGAAATGGGACAATTTCCTGCAAAGCTAGAATTCTAAAATGAAGCACAGAAAAGAGGCCATGGGCCCCAGGCTCACATCTGCTGTTGGGTCAGAGCTTCAACAAGATCAGGCCCAAGTTCTGCAATGCTTCGCTCTGAGGAATGAGGGAGCCCAGGAGATGATTAGAGGCCCCACAAAAAACAGCAGTACATATTGAAGAGCTGATTAAAGAGGAAAACCTGCTTTTCTATCCCAAGGGACATTATTACCCTCCTCAAAGTTTGCTTTAAGCTTTAAGTATCATGTCAAAGTATCTTTCCAGAGTAAATCTTGGAACATTTCATAGTGAAAGGGTCTTTTAAATAGAGATGAAAATGAGCAAATCAATTTTTGGCTTTAGAAACTTAACTTTTAAAAAAGTTCCAATGCACCATTTGGTTGAAATGCTATGTCCCCATCAAGGCTTTTTCTGTTCAGAGAAGGGGACAAATGAAGAGGAGGGAAGGTGGGGGCAGCTGTCCAGGCACAGTGCTTCTGCAGGTTCTTTCCCACACTGGGGCTGATGCTTCACGTTTACAGGAGGCTGTTGATGATGGCTGCGTGTCTGGGCAGCTCGCAACACTCAGCTCAACGCAACAGACCTTCATGGCAAAAATCCCAGGGACTCATACTCAATCTTCCCTCCACAAATTCAAGAAGCACAGACGATCTGGCTTACAGACATACAGAGAAAGGATAAACAGACAGCTGCAGTCAGGAACAGCTTACTTACCACACCCTTTCTCAGGTTCTGGCTCTGTCTCATTCTCCTCCAGTCCCCATTCTCCATGTCTAATTGAAAAGATTGCCAAAATATAAATTACCTTCCCTTTGACTATGTTCTCTTCCCATCGACCCTCCTTAGCCTCTGTGGCAAGCCCCTGCTCCTTTCAGTGGGAATACAACCAGACACTGGCAAACACCCACCGAACGCACTTCTTTGTCCAAGAAATCTCTTAGAGATCTGATTCTAGTCTCAAGACCACTTCATCATCTCCCAACTCAAATCTCTACTTACCCACCCCCCGCCCTCGTCAAGCCCTCGAGACCCAGGTCTCCCTTTGCTGTATGGCGGTATACTCACTCCTGTCTTCCTCCAGCCTTGCAAGTCTTCTTAGCACCTTAGGCAACCCCACCCTGCTTTCACCTTCTTAATATTCTGAGAACAAGCACAGTCTAGATATATCCATGCCAAAGCAAGACTGCCAGAGAAAGAAGAGAACCACAGACTGTCAGAAGACAAACACAGGTCTGGAATGGAAGGAGGTTTCCAATACATTCTGAAACCTGGGATGTGAATTAGCTGACAAAACAGAAGACGGAAGAAAAGTCATAGAGAAAAATTTACATTCTTTCAGTGGAAGGAGAAAGGAGAACTAGAAGGAAATGACCAGGGATGAAGGGGGTTGCACTTCTAGTTTCTTTGGTACAGAAAAGATTCATATAAGTTCACTATGTCCATGTGGGCCCCACCATCAACTGCATTCTTGGCAAAAAGGAAAAAAAAAGACCATTGAACTAACTGAATGATGCCTAGAGATAGCCAAAAACTAAACCCTTAAACAGCTGCAGTCAGCATTTCCGAGTGCTTTTCATTTCTGCTGAGGACACGGAGTTGCTCACCTGACTCCAGTGCTGATTGGTAGGTTTCCTGAGTGACCCCAGGACCCTTCCCTCTGGCAGTTCTCTTCCAGGTGAGGACACACACTGGTCAAGCTTAGAGATCCTATAAAGCCACAACCTCTGACAGGGTCAAAGTTTGGGGCCACCTCCTACAATGTGGACTCAGACCATGGAGCAGAGCTGCTTAAGAGGGACATTCTAATTCTTGTGAATGCCACAAAGTCCGCATATCACAGTGTTTGGAATGTCTGGGCCACAGCTTCCAGATGTGGACAATAAAGTGCCCATCTTCAAGAGGCACTAAAATTATGTTCTTTCATCCTTCCTGAAAGGTAGGGGGAAAAAAACCCAGGCCAGGAACTCAAAGGGACACATTAACATAATTTATTAAATTCACCACACAAAGAACATGCCGCAGGAAAAAATATCTGAACTGAAAGGGCCCGTGGAGATGATCTGGTCTGACCTTCTTGTTTTACAGGTAAGAAGATGGAATGAAGGCCACCAGTATACCATCATGGAGAGAGCCAGCACATGAGTCCAGTCCTCATACACAGAAACACACAGACTTAAACCTTATGGTTTTGAGCCAAGTAGAACCTAAAGACTTAATCCATATTTATTTTTTATTTTTCTGTGTCCCATAGTATCACATTCTGATGCTTATCTCCTTCTTGAGGCTGCAGACAGAGGCCTGAAGAAAATATGATTAGTGGCAGGGTCATCCAGAGCCAGGATAGCAGATCACTATGGAGCAGAGGGGTGCAGAGGATTTAGGGGAAGAATCCCATCCCTCCCCAAGATTCTTGATTATCCTCTCCCTCCAAACCATATACACTCAGACCCAATGCCTCAGGGCATCTGTACCTTCCAGAGGTACAGATCAGGTTTGGAGGAGGTGGAGGAGGAAAGGAAAGAAGCAGATAGAGGAAAGAAAAAAAAAGGTTTACTTCTGAAGTCAACCAGTCTAGTGGGAATACACTTTTCCCAGTATAGAGCAAATCCAAACACTGAGAGAAGGTTGTAGAACTCCGGTATTAATTCAGTTGTGAGATATAAGCAAAAACACCAATAACTTAGCAAAATAAATACAATGAGAGTTTCACCGAGATGGATGTAACCCAGTGAAAAGAGTTTTTAGGTTCTGAGTCAAGAAAATCGAGGTGAACCTTGCATTGCATCTCAGGGGAAAACCCTAAGAGATCCTGGAAGTCTTCACAGCAGAGAGAAGTCACACCTAACTGTCTGTGGCCCAACAGAATCTTTCTACTAAAAGCTACTCCCTGATTGTACATTCCCTTCTCCCCAGGAAGACAGAGCTGGTCAGTCCAAACTGAGGCTTGCTGACTCTGACCAGGCCGTGACAGGTGGCCCCACTGTCCTATCAGTAGGAGGTCCGGGTCAGCATGGGCTGAGGGTGAAGCAAGTAGAAAAACAAAATGTGCTGCTAAGAACTGAGCTGTGTTTGTGGAAGGAACTCAACTCCTCCAGGACATTCTTCAATCACTGTGGACACCTGTGCCTCCAGCTTCTAGGGCTGAGACACATCTCGTCTTCTCTCCCAACCCGACGAGGGCCTGGATTCTGGGGCCGCTGAACTCCAGGCTGCAACAGGAAGGGGGCTCTGCTACAGAGAAAACTACTAACTATGAGAATAAGGATGCTGCCCTAGCTCCTGCCCACAGGACAACACCCCCCACAAGGCTGCAGCGTCCAGGGGAAGTGCTCATCCTCCATCCACCCGGCACACAGAGGACAGGAGTTTGGAAGCGAGGACATACGAGCCCCAAGCCCCGAGTGCAGCCAGGGATGGGTAAGCAAATCAAGTCGGTGCTGATAGCCTCCAGGGGAGGCGGGCTCCTCCACAGGCGAGAGGCGGCAGCAAACGGCGATGTCCCTCTCCTTCAGCTCATGTTTCCACCACTCGGATGAGAGGCATGGGCTTAGGGCTGGGGGGCTTGGCTATCCTAATGCTGAAAAGGAAGTTAGAAACACTTGAGTGCACTGTGGTTGCCCACCCTTCACAGAGCCGCGCCTCCACGTTTGCCTCTGGAATTGTGTCCTTAGTGCCACCTGATCTCTTGGTTCTAATGCGTTGAAACAGTGCTTGTCAGGGACATTTAAGAGACGATTAGGGAAGAGGTACTTTGGTGGTAGAGGTGATGAAAAGAGAAGGGCAGTTAAACAACTGAGAAGTGGGCAGAGCTGTACTCTGGATTTTTGCAAAGTATTAGACCTTTTTTATGAAGCTCTTGGTTACAAAAGGCCCTCTCCCTAGAAATATGCACTTATTACACATTCAGTTTTTGCACACTATTTCAGGGGGTTCATACACCTCTAGTAGCTGTTCATGGGCCTCCTTGGGGTTGTGTGGTATCAGGCACTACTCTAACCCAGTTGGAAAATTATTCAGGTGGAGACTGGGCCAGATTAGAAACTGAGAGAATAAAATAAGACTTAAAAGAGCTTTGCCCCTCTCTTAGCAGTAAGTTTTTTTCCATAGCTCTGTTTCCTTCTCTTCCTCACGGAGCCCCACTCCATGCACACTCACTGACCTGCCCAGGTTCTCTGTCTTGGCCCAGGTCTGGGTGCTGAAGTTGCCATGACTGATTTGTTTTTCTATCAGGTGTTCCATACGGTCATGCATCTCTAAATTCTATAATATAATTATGAGATTAGAATTAGTTTGCCATTTGTTACATTTAACTGGCTCAATTCTTGGTCTCTCCACCTGTTTATGCTGCTGTCATCCCCACCCCTAACGTGTGCCACCCCCAGGATGTCCTCTCCTCCCATCTCCACCATTCCTGATTGCTCTCTTCCTCCAGTACTTGCCCCAGCTTCCTTTCCAGAGGATCTGTTTTCTCAATAATTCTGTACAACACTGATAATTCCCTGCATATACTCTCTATATACTTCGTGTATAAAATGCCTTGCAGTCAGTGGAGATATTCACTTGCCACTTGCCTTTGTTGACATTCTTTTTCATAAAGTATTCTTAGGTCTTTTTTTTTCTTTTAATGCATTTTCTCTCTAAATTTAGACTGCAAACTCCTGGAGATAAACAGCCCTGTTTCCCACTTCTTTTTATCTCCCCCACTACAAGGGATCTGCACATAGTGGCTACAAAGCAGTCTTCAGATAGTCAATGGACAGGGAGAGCTCTGAGGAAGGGTGGAAGTTACACTAAGAAGAAATTGTTAGCTAACTGAGCCTATCACCTTAGCCATGGAGAAGACTCCACCTACAGAATGCTTCCTCCTTCGAGGCCCAGCTCCACTGTCAGCTCCTCTGCTAAGCCCACATATCAGAATGAAGGGCCGCCTCCATGCTGCCATGGCATGGGGCTTGCACCAGGATGGTATATTCCTTCAGAGTGCAGACAGGTCTTTCCATTGTTAGCAACTCCCTGAAAGTTCTCAAAAAAAAATTTGCTCACCTTAAACGAAGATTAACCAACCATCCCAGACACTCACTTATAAGCAGCATCTAGACAGGACCAAGGATCCCTCCAGAACCTCTCCCTCCCTTATGTCCAATCTTCCCTTTAAAAGCCTGCTCCTTTCCCAGGGCTTCCCAGCACACACACCTCTGCTTCCAGGTAGGCAATTTTCTCCTTGAGCTCCTGGATGGTGGTATCCTTTGACTGGATCACAGTTTTTGAATTCTGGAGCTGCAAAGATGTGGGAGACACTGGAGCTCATTTTGAAATGCCTCATTACACATTACCAAACTGTGCCCTGCTGCCAGGGAAGCCAGCACAGACAAAAGGCAGAGGTTTGCACCTCTCACTTGCTTAGCTTCTCTATTAAAGCTTTGTTTCAGTCAATATTAAACTCTTGATTACAAGGTGTGGGGAAAACAGCACTCTGATAATCCAAAATAATGGATAATTCAAAAATCATTCCACTTGAATTTGGGAGATACAAATTATTTACTCATTCAGGAAATATTTATTGAGTGCATACTATATGACAGGCTCTATTCTACACAATGGGAAACAGCAATAAACAAAGCAGGAAAAAGTCAGTCCTCACAGAGCTGAAATGCAAAAAGTTAAAAAATATGCCCTTCCAAGTTTAAGGTCTTAAGTTCTCAAAACAGTTCTACAAGTCAGCAAATCCTGAACATGCTACCCTAAAGTTCAGGTGGGAGAAGGCAGAAAATCTGCCATGAGGTAAAATGGTTGATAACCTGCACACAGATAAGTGAGTTATGGTCACTTATTTACTCATTTACCAAAACTCTGATAAATGTTAATGTAAGAGAGACTAACCTTTTCCTTCATTTTCCACTGGAAAGCAGAAGGCAAATGACCACAGATTTAGGGGAAAGATGGGAGAAAAGCGAATCCCAATCATCCAAACCCAGCAGTGGGAACCACAGATGTTTTATGGGACACTCAGAAATATAAGCCAAGTTCCCCAGAAGAATAAATAATAAAAGCATAGACTTGGCATAAAAATAGGTTTAGACTCAACAAAGGGACTTCCAGAGGTGGTGACCCAAAGCAGGGCCAGATCCGACCCTGCTTACCTGCTCTATCATTTGCCGGACTTTCCGCTGCTGGCTCTTAAGCATGTCATCCAAATGGTGGATCTTCTCTCGCAAGCCAGCCACTTCCTTTTCCAGGTTAGCAGCCCTGAGGATTAAGACCAGAAAGCTGAGGCAAGGTGAAGAGATGCTTTCTCTACCCAGTCACAGGAAGAGCCTTGGGCTCTATAAGGTGTGACTCCCTCTGCCTGATTCCCCAGTGGTCTGCCCTGAGAACATCACATCGGAAGCATCACTAGAGATCATTTAGTCCAAATGAGGGAACGGAGGCTCAGGAAGGTCAGAAGGGGTAAGTTGTTCTGGACAGGTCTAGAGAATAAGACCAGAACCAACAGATAGATGTTCCAAGGAAGTGGTTCTTTTGCTAACATGGGAAAGACTTTCTCAGTACTAAAATCATCAGAAAGTAGACTATTGCATGAATAATGAGCTCCTTGTACTTCCATTCAAGTAGGAGCTGGCATTATGATACCCAACACCATCACGCTATTGGCAGGGAATTTATATCAAGAAGGAGGTAAGATATGAGGATCCTCAAAGCCTCTTCACAAGTCTGTTTGTCTCTGGATTCCCAGAGACTGATGCTTCCTCTGCACCTTCTAAGCAACCTAGGCCAAGATCACCTAAGGTCAGGTGACTGGGAAAAGTGTCAAGGCGTTCAGACCTCTGAAGAATTGCTCGTACCCATTATTCTCCAGTTCTGCCAAAGGAAGCAGACAACTGTCCATTGCTAGAAGGTGGGCAGTGCTCCAGGTGAAGGTGAGGGTGGGATGCAATACGATCTGAGCACCCCAATATCCTTTCTAAACTTCAAACATTCTAAGTCCCCTGAGTTCTCCAATGCCCTATTTCTCTTCTTTTATTTAGAAAATCAGCATTTATGGTGCATAGCTATAACTTGCCACTTCCAAGCCTCCGTTTTGAATTATCTGGTCTTCGTTTCACCTGCTACCTCCTCTATCAGTCACCTGCCCATGAGCACCTCCACTATGGAGGAAGTGGGTATGCTGAGTGATGTAAAGCAATTCTGCTATGAAGTTGAGAGAAAGGGCCCGCAATAGTATGGCAGATATGCCTAAATCTAGGTTATCCCAAAAGAGAGGAAATGTCCAGAGCCAACTGAGGGGTCCAAGAAGGGAAGGACTGTGCCTCATGATCTTGGAAGTTCTTAGAAGGCCTTCTGGGTGATGCCAGTTGAACTTAAAAAGGTCCAACTTATACAACAGATCAGACCCAATGTGGTGATGATAAATTTGATTTACCATTTGAGACCTTATTTAACTGCCAATAGTATAAAGAATTTCCAAATTCTTGAAGGTCCAGAATGGCCTGATATTTGCTCACTGATCTGGGGCCTCTGGTCCCCTCTGATAAGAGGGAGTTTGAAAAACTCTCTAACCTTGGAGTAGAAAGGATCCCAGAGATCTGAATGACCCTGCTGACAGGTGGTTCCCAGTCTGAGTCACTCCAAGTGACAGCAAGTTCAGTATCTCTTCACAAAGCTGCACATTGTATTTTTCTGTCAGCACAACTTGTGAGGAAGTTATTTGATTTTACCCTCAAACACTTTCCAGTTGGCTTTTGGTTTGGGGTGAGGACACTCTGCTGTCACAGTACCACATACACAAGCAGGGTAACAACTTGTGCAGCAATGTGCTACAACAGCAGATGTTTCACCAGCTCTCACTTGACTTTACCTCTGAAACTTTAAAAGCTTCTTCTTTAGGTTATTGCTCCATGGAATATGAGCTATCCAGAGATGGCAGCTTCCCAAACAGCATCTCCCTGGGTGGGGCCCCCCATGAGCAGGCTCACTGTGAGTCAGAGCTGGAAGATCTGACATCAGTGCCAGCTACCTCTCCAGTGTGGCCACACGTGAGCTGCAGGCTGCATGGCCTGCTTCACTCCCTGCCCCCTCAACTCACAAGGGCCCTTACTTTTCTTGTTCTGCTCTGCAGTCAGCATTCTCACTCTGGAGTTCCTCCAGGGCTGTCTCCCCTTCTCTGACCTTCACCAGTAAGGCCTGCTGTTCCTGGATAGGCCAAAGGAAAGAAAACCTCAGATGAGGAGATGGCACTCATTTCTACAGTGGAGAGATGGGCACTAGGCTGGGGCTCAGCCCCTACTGAGCCTGGGGTGGCTGACAAGGAGCAGCAGGCCCAGCAGGTTTGATGTGGCACCCACCACCGTCTGGGAGAACCCTTCCCACCCTCAGCACACAGATATTTCCCAGTCCCACCCAGCTATCCGAGGGAGAGCCTGGCCCTGTGTTATCCAGGCCCACCTGCCAGATGTCAATCCCCAAGAAACCAGGCTGAGTGGAACCTTACAACCTGCCAAAGCCCAAAATGGGCAGTTATGCAGGAGCCGGACTAAAATGGAAATGGGTTCAACTCTAGTCAGCGAAGGCTCAAGTTAGTTGAGAAAGACCTGGTTCCTTAAAGGCTAAAAGGTACTGAGAGGTATCTGCCAGGTGAAGCTGTAAAGTGTCATTTCCTGGAGCTGCTAGGAGAAGGCAAGGTTCAGCCAGTCCCAGAACACCCTCCGGCCTCGGCATCCAGGTACTGAAAAGCAAGACCCCAGCAATTACCATCTGCATGCCTAGCAAGCGCCTCTGCAGCTCCCCAACTTCAGCCTCTTTCTGCTCCACTCTGCCCTCTGTTCTCTGAAGAGCCACGTGACTCTGTTCTGCTTCTCTCTGGTACCGGCTCAGTGTGACCTAAGACACAGGAAGGGGATGTGTGAAGTGGAGATGACTGGGGCAGGGAGAGCAAACGTGGATAAAGACCTTAAAACAAAATCCAGCACTCTGGGTGCAGTGATGGGTGAGGGGAGGCAGCTGATAAACACACCACCATCCTCCACTACTCTAGGACCACCAGTGAGACTAGCAGGTTAACTCTGTTTTCAGGGTTAATTGGCCCATGGTTGATTGAGCTCTACTTTAGAGTGACACTGGAACCCATAAGACCACTCTCCAGATGGCTGATTTCTTTACTATTCCCACCAGCCCTCCAATGCCACTCCAGCTGAGCCCAGTGTGGCTTTCCTACTGACGCAAACGCAAAGCATCCAGAGGAGAACATCTCCATGTCCTTCCTTCTGGCTCCCCACTCTTCCTCACTCCCACTTCAAGCAATATTGCAGCCTGCATACAAAGGCCAAATGGCATCTAGAAGGGCTACTAAGCACCAGGAAGAATTTGCTCTTTTTCAAAGATAAGCCAATTTGGAAAGGATAGAAGCAGAACTTTAAAATAAAAAAGTAAAGTAAGAACTTGCCTCCTTTCCTCCCACATGCATTTTGACAACTCTTAATTTTCCTTCAGGTCTTGCTTAGATACTCCTTTCCCAGGGAGCTCCAAGCCCAGGTGAGGAGCCCTGTTGTGGGCCACAGAGGGCACACAGCCCTTTCCTCTTATAGCACTGAGTGGGTTTTGCCCAGTCACTCGTGTGCACCCCCAGTAGACTATCAGCTTCATGATGGCAGAGACCTTGAGCACCATTACATACCCAGAGCCCAGCATAGTACCTGGCACACAGTCACTGCTGGATAACTTTATGAATGGAATTAGTGTTCATCTAGTCTAGCCCTCTCCTTTCATAATTAAAGGTCGACTGACCTTTTCAAGGTTACACAGCTATTCAATTACAGAGCCAGTGCTGGAAGCCAGTTACTTCATCATCCATTTCAGTGCTTCCCAGTTACCCCACATTGACTTAAAAAGAATCCAGGTATTTTCTGGAAAGCCTAAACAGCCCTGGGAACAGCAGCCAGTTTGTCCAGCTCCTCCCAAAGTCACAATCATGGAGGTAAAAGCAAAGCACAGGATGACGTGTAAAGGGACATGTCCATCTGCACACCAGCCCCATCCAGAGCAAACTCACTGCAAATCCTTGGGACAGAAAATAACCAGCAGCACGGAAAACCCATGCTTAATGGCAGGTGGTTTTCATGGTACTGACAATCTTGCCCTTCCTACTTCCAGGTTCAGAAAAGTAGACTAGAGATTCTAATTCACTAGTAAAGATTGAGAAAAGCCGTTAAATGACTCATATTAGCCTGGAACAGGCCAGCCTCATGGGCAGGAACATAAAAACAAGGCCTCTCATTTCTGTATATAAATAATGCACCCAGGCTGATATGTGCATGGAGAATATTAATGGGTCACAGACTGATCTTCACAACCTGCTGTAGAATCATAAAGGGGAAAAAAACCACACTCCCCTGCCACATCTGTTCCTGTAGCTCCAGCCACCCCTGCCTTAAAGGAACCTCTTAGTCATAAAAGGGTATGACAACCTACCCCCCAGTGGGAACAACCCACAGAGCACCTCCTATTGCAGGTTGGTGCCACATGCCATGGGGGCCAAAGGGTCGCCTCTTCTAAGAAACCACAGGCATGTGGCTACAGCTGTCAGGGACCTTCTAGCTTTCAGGCTTTTACTCAGGACACTTTGCTCAAGCTTTGAAACCCAGGGCTAGCAGAACCCTCCATTTGTAGCCAAAACCAACCTAGTTCTACATTGAGAGGCACTATGAAGTAATGCCTTTCCAAAATTCACAATCTGTTCCATGCTACAGCCTTAACTTCTGCTTCTTCCTGTTCTGCTCCAAAAAGCTGGGAAACAGATGGTCACCAAACTGGTACACTGCCAAACAAATTATCCAAATTGTGCAGTCCAAAATAGATGTAGCAAACTCTTTTACTGAAAACCTGTCCACACCAGACTAAGTATTACCCTAAGTCCAGACAATTTAGGATAGGAAAACCCACTTGTTAAATTGATCACTAAGGAAAAGGTAGCATATCTTGTATTTCTAAACTCTCTAGAGTATTAAATATATTTACACATAACACGTCACTCAATCCATACACCAAACTTGTGAGGTGGAGTTCATGACCCCTTTTCACAAAAGTTGAAATTAGAAAGGTGAAATTACTTGCTCAAATACTGCTTCACTTACTCTCAAGGCAGTTGGTCATTCTCAGTGTACTTCTTCCTCACCTTCGATGTTCTTCTCAAAAATTCTCTCTTAGTCCCATGAAAAAGAAGAGTTCAGACTGGCCTTCCTCTCTCTACCAAATGCCAGCATGCTTGGGCAGGGCATAATCCTATCATTATATATATATGACATAAATACTTTACATGTGGGTGAATAATAGCAGATAACAGTGTCCCACACAGAGTAGTTAGAAAAACTGCCCAGTGTACCTCATTTTATACTCAAAGAATTGTCTAGAAAGTATTTCCAGACACTGTTAATAGTGGGGGGCTTTCACTGTCTCTATAGACTAATATAATTTTTTAATCTTCTGTAGTCCTGTATTGTTTTTATAACAATAATTGACACACTCATTGAAGAACACAAAGCTCTGCATAGTAAAGCCAAGACTTGATCTAAGTCCATGGGCACAGCTCTTTCTATAACCACACTGATTCATCCACTCACCCAATCCACACTTAAGAGGTTCCCACCTTACAAAAGGTATTGTGCCAGATACTTGGGGATAGAGTGGTGAACTTGACAGTAACAGTCCTTGCCTACATGGTACCTAGAGCCCAGTAATTCTGATCATGGTACTTACAGAAACAACTTCTGAATTACCAGACCAACACCACCACTCAACCTTAGCACAGCAGAGAATCAAGAGCTGATCTGAGAACTGTGGGTCAGCCTTAGGCAGCAAAAACTGTAAATATCCAGGAAACAGAAAAGCAGACAGGAAGGGCTCCTCAGCCTCAGAGCCAAGCCTTTCCAGTTGGTGGCACCCAGCCAGAAAAAACATGAAGTCCACGCAAAGTCACCGGCACCCTAATCCAGTGACCCAGCCCTTGGGGCACCTTCTCCCCAGATCCCAATCTCACCTCAAAATCCATACGGTCTGACTGGTGCTGCCACTCAGCCTCCTGAAGCTTACGAAGCAAGTCCCGCACAGTCTTCCTTAGACTCTCAACATCCCCATCTGTGGAGGCGTCTACCTACAGCGGGAGCAGGGAAAGCGGGTGAAGCCACTGTTTGGGACTTGGTAAAAAAAAAGGTCCTCCTACAACACATACTTGTTTAGAACATCTTTATCCTGACCACACTCACAAAAGAATTCATATTATAAGAGGGGAGATTTAATCTTAGGCACCCGGGAGTTCTGAATTATTTATACACTCTCTTCAAAACCATAAAAACTCAGCTAGTCTCAAAGCACATGATTATTTTAGGACACACTCAGTAATTTGTATACATATATTAACTGACTGATTAACAGGTATGTTTATGCCTTCCTTGTGTGTGTCCTTCTTCCATCAGACTAGAGCTCCCTAAGACCACGGAGCCAGTTCCCCTTTGGACTATGGTTCCCCAAGGGCAGGGACTGTGTCACACCCATCACGAGGGGTGCACCCCAAAGGCACACCTTCCTTCTGTGGTTCTCTGCACCTAGCTCAGAGGTCAGCAAATAAAGAGTTACTGATGGATGGGCAGGGTCAGGGCAAAAGTGCCCAAGGAGCCCAGGAATCTGACCTGTTGTAGGGAAAGGCTGTGTCATCAAGGCTCCTCTGAGGCTCACCCCAGCACAGCCGATCGTGGGTCGGTGGGTAGGGCTGAGCTGGCATGTAGGGTCTTGCCCCCACCTCTGCCACCCAGCACCAGACACTTCAGTCACCAGCTCCCTGGGAGTGTGATGGAAAACCTTTCCCTGTCTTGCCCAGTGAGAAGCAGCAGCGCCTTCCAGCTGGAGCACAGAGCTCCCAGATGGGAGGAAGAGCACAGGGTCCCAGGCACTGCATCATTACTGAGTCTTGTGGGCCTCATTTCTCCTCTGTGAGGCCGTGAAGAGACTGCTCACCATGCCCTGCCTTACAGGCTACCTCAGAAATAAGTAAGATATTATCTGGTAGCACTTGGGGCTTTTGAGAAGAAAGAGGCCAAACAGGTAACACCAGTCATTACTGTACCGTGTTGCCAGCACATGTTTGCCAAATACGGAGGTTTGGGGGAAGGGAAACTGCCCATTGAAAGTGTGCGGCCAGAATCACAATACTCCAAATCTAGCTGCTAGTTAGTTATCAGGTCAGTTCTGCAGGGTCTGCACTTAAGCTGCTGGGCAGGTGAGAATGATTTAAAAGGCTCCTGCAGCATAACTAATATGTGTTCATTTCAAATGGTATTTTCATAAGGGTATCTAATGACATGTAAAATTTTTATGATACAGTATGAAGAGAAAAAAGGGAGTTATAAAACAACATCTAGGAGTCAGAAACAACAAACAAGATTTTAACACAGCAACACAGATCCTAAAAACATGGTGTGGGATAAAAAAGGAAAAAACAGATATATAGCACAAGTTAATTATGAAAATTGAACAAATTTAAAAGGCATATTTAAATCATATATTGAATATGTTAGAATGAGAACTTTTCAGTGAGGGACAGGACAGGCAAAAAAAAAAAAAAAAACCCAAAGGAAACCAGTGAGAGGACTTTACAGGATAAATGATAACAATGTGCCCTGAACCGATGGGTAGGGCTGCTTCAATCCCGCACAAGAGGATCAAAAAACCCAATCTAGAAACATACCCACCCAAATAAAAAAACAAATACAAAAAAATGCTACACATAGTATAATCTCAGTATGGTAAATACATATTTGCGGAGAGACAAAGGAAATTTCACCAAGCTGTTTTTAATCTGCATAGACCACAATTGACATTTTTTCTTCTTTTACTTTTCTGTATCTGAATTCCTCAAATTTTCTATAAGAATCATGTCTTCTATTATTATATACTCACAGAAAAATGTAATAACAAATGTCATTTTGTAAAAAGTACAGCCATATTTATCAATTATACCTTAATAAACTGGAGACAATTTTTTTTTAAAAAGGACACCCCCAGAAGGAAATATACATTATTCAAAAGAATGAGGTAGATCTGCATGTACTAACATGGAAAGAAGTCTAAAAAGCAAGGAGTAACATTTATAATCTGTACATATTTATATATACATACATCTGGTATTTAAATATGGTTGCCTGTGTATAAGAAAACACTCTAAATACTGGTACTTTGGCTAAACCTTAGAATCACCCAAAGAGCTTTTAAAAGCTGCAGTGCTGCAGCCACATCTGAGAATGATTACAGTCTCTAGGGGTGGCTCACGGTCATCCCATCCTCGGTCATCCCATCCTCGGAAGCTCCCAAGGTCAGCGGTCAGTGAAGGCTGTGAAATGCTGCTCGGAAAGAGCCCACCTGCTACAGCGTGCTCACAGTGGGCACACCCAGGGGTGGGAATGGCGGAGGAACTGCCACTCTCTGTGTTTCTCCACTGTTTGAGTGTTTTTTTCAAACTGAATTCTTACAGCAAGTATTACTCTTATATTTAGTGAGAGAGAAAAAAATGGGACCAGGGAGGAGGCTATCTTGCCTCCTGGCTAAGCAGTAATTAGCATTGTTTCCCTGTTACCTACCTCAGGTGGACTGCTATATAGGGTTGTGGGACTTTGACTAAAGACATTTGGCTTTTCTAACATCACCTGTTCAAAGAAAAATAAAATTGGTACTTAAGAGCCCCAAATAACCAACTTTGAACATTATTCTCCTAATAAGATCTCAAATTTTGGAAAGGAGGGAGGGAGGGAGGGAAGGAAGGAAGGAGGGAGGGAGGGAAGGAGGGAAGGAAGGAAGGAGGGAGGGAGGGAGGGAAAGAAAGAAGAGGAGAAAGGAGGGGAGGGGAGGGGAGGGGAGGGAAAATACTTCCAGTGCTCTATTGGAAAATGGAAAGGAAAGGTAATGGAGCAACATGTGCGACCTTGACAGGAAATGCTCAAGCCTTGTAGAGAGGATGATGGAGACCTCAGGCTAAAAGCCTTTCAGCAGACTGAAATATATGCAGGCTTAGCCCCCATGGCCCAGAGAATACAAGCAGCTGCCTGCCACAAGCAGTCTTCCTTGCCCCTCAGGGATCCAGAGACAGGGTTTGACAAAGCGTAAGTCAAAAGGGGAAGCAGCCTTTGCTGCAATTCTTTCCAGCCCAAAGCCTGATTACTCATCATAGGGCTGCTGGTTCGTGCAAACAAGGGGCCTGGGCTCTGGGGCCAGTCTCTGAGGACATTAGGCTCTTAGTCACCTGTGAAAGCACCTCCCACCAGCCAGAAAGTCAGAGTCCTATTTTCAGCCAAAACAAAATGAATAGGGGCAGTCTAATACACAAGCCTAGAACACCCCCAGGCGAAAGAGGAACTGCGCTGGCCCTAGCTGCTAGGTCACTGTTTCCCTCAGGAGAATGAGGGCAGAGGTCAGTGGTGAAAGACTACCCCACCCAAACCAAAAGCAAATGAAGGAGATACAACTCAGAATCTAAGGAGAATGAGGGCGAACTCATGGCGAAGACAGTTCTGCTCTCCTAAGGACATTTCTATCCTCAAATTTTAGAAAAGCTGTAAAGCAGGATCCCAGGATTATCCACCTCAAGAAGGCTTCTCCAAGCAGTTCAGTTTAACAAGCATTCACTAATGAACTTCTGCATCCCAGACCCTGTGCTAGGTGTAGGGACAGAGTTGGGTGGGTGAAACCTATCTCCAGGAGCTTCCAGTCCCAGAGCAGAGGTAGTTATATACACAGATAAATAACAGACAAGGACCAAGACTTCCAATTTACACTATAGGTATCAACTCAAATTAGGCAAGATCAATTTATGAAAAGTTTGGATTTAAAGATGATTGTTTTAAAAGACTTTGTATTACAAGAAGACTGATCACAGAATCCTTATGATAAGAGGTTTCACCAACAACCTAATGATCATTTTATTTACATATATTCAACTTTTGTACAGTGTTTCAGGAAGTATACTTACATACAGGCTGATATGTGTAAATGCCAAGCGCTCATCTGCTGGGGAGCCCTAACAAGGCTTGTGAGCGCTCAGAGAAGCTAGCACCGCCTGTATGCTCTCCCTTCCTGGCACTGGCGTCATATGCAGCACCCACTAGGTGACAGACAAATGGGACTGCCTGGCACAACCCCACCTCCTTGGTCGGGACCCAACCCTGGACCGTTTCCTATTACCTGTGTGTCCTGTCCATGGAGAGAATCTCCGGGATCTCTGTCAAGCTTGCTACTTATATCCTCCCGGAGCTTCTGTAGGCAGTTCCTGGCCTGGGAGGGGAGGGCAGGGCAAGAAACTTTAGCTTTGGACACTGAACGACAGCACACTATCTCACCCACCTTTGTGCCTGTCCCCAACTTGTACTCCTGTGAGTCAGTACTGTCCTGAGCACTGGCTGGGGGCAGAAAGGACCTAGTCAAGTGGGGCTGCAGCCCAGTTCCTACTACACAAGCAATAAAATTAACATACTTCCTGCCCCTGGAGGAGCTAACATTTGAGTTGGGGGGACAACACAAAAGGCAAATAAGTAAAACATGTAATATGTTATATGGCAACAAGTGCCTAGGAAAAACATGAGCCAGAGTGAGGGTAAGGAAAAGTTAGGGGTGCAAAGCTAGCAATGTTAGAAAGGATGGCAGGGGGATAGCATTAGGCACATGGTGCTTAATAAGTATTTGTTGATTAATAGCTTGGTTGATTAATGGAAGGGTCCCAAATGACATCTGATACGTGAGGGCACTTGGTGGCCCTTTGGAGATATGAAGAGAGCAGAAAGGAGAAAATCAGAACCCACAAAAGAAGGGAGCTCCTAAAAATGTGAGATTTAGAAAAATTACTTAGGTCATTTGTACAGAGGGAAAGGGTGCCCACCTCCTGGATATACTGAACTTCACTCTTCAGCTGGTTAATATTCTTTTCATGAATCACCTTGTCTCCAGACCTCCCCTTCAAGTACACCTGAAATAAAGAAGACAACACTATTTAGTTAAGAAACCTCCAGTTAAATTAATTCCATACAGGCAGTCCCATATACTGCTGGCAGGTGCGTAAACTGTTATTATGAGCTTTCTGGGTGGCAATTTCAGGTCAGAAGACTTAAAACTATAAATCTACTCAGTAGTCTTTGACATATACCAAATCTACTTTTAGAAATTTTCCTAATGAAATTAATTTAGGTAAGCTAGAATAAACACACACACACACACACACACACACACACACACACACACACACAAACACACACACAAACACAAATACATAGAAAGGGGGTTGTAAAACAGACCTACAAATTTTTTTGTGTACACCATGTTTGGATATTTTACAATTAATATTTCCTTATTACTTATAAAATATACAGTTTAGTAACATGTATGTTCAGCAAAATTATTTATGTCTACAAAAATGGAAACATACAAAATGTCCAACTTGTGATATGTCTACAATAGAATACTATGCAGCCATTAGAATGCCAGACATTTACATTCATGGACAACAAATGTTACAAGCAAATGGCAGAATACAGTATATAATACAATTTTATTTTTTGAAAAAGTACCTGTGTATAGTAAAATGAGAGGATACACAATCAAGGGCCATGCAACGACTTTCAGTAAGAAAAAGAAATTAATTAAAGGCATCCAGACTGGAAAGGAAGAGGTAAAACTATCTCTATTTGCAGATGACGTATCATGTAGATAGATTATCCTAAGGAATCCACTAAAAAAAAAACTCTTAGAACAAATAAATGAGTTCAGCAAGGTTGTAAGAAACAAGATCAATATATAAAAAATAGCTGTATCTCTATACACTATCAATGAACAATCCAAAAATGAAATTAAGAAAACAATTCTATTTGTAATAACAACATAAAGAAAAAAATACTAGAAATAAATTTAACAAATTTCAAAATTTGTATTCTGAAAATTACAGAATTGTTGAAAGAAATAAAAGAACCAAAAAAATGAACAAACATCCATTTTCGTAGATTGCAAAACAATATTATTAAGATGGCAACACTTCCCAAATCGACCTACAGATTCAGCACAATTTCTATAAAAATCGAAGCTGGCTTCCTTGCAAAAACTGACAAACTGACCCTAAAATTCACATGGAAGTGCAAAGTTCCCTAAATAGCTAAAATGATCTTGACAAAGAAACAAGTTACTACAAAGCAATAATAAGATAGTGTGGGAGTGGCATAAAGATAGACACACAGAACCATGGAATATGACTGAAAGTCCAGAAACAATAATAATATAAAAATAATACACTCAACTGACTTTTTGACAAGGATTCCAAGACAATTCAATGGGGGAAAGAACAGTCTTTTCAACAAATGCTAGTAAAAATGTACATCCACATGCAAATGAAGCTGGACCCGTTCCTCACATCATACACAACAAGAATTCCCCCAAAATGGATCATGACATACTCATAAGAACTAAAACTACAACTCTTTGAAGAAATATAAGGATAAATATTTGTGATCCGGGTTAGGGAAAGCCCTCTTAGATACAATACCAAAAGTATAAACGATAAGAGGACAAAAAAAGTAAATTGGATTTCACCAAATTAAAAACTTCTGTTTCAAAGGACATAATTAAAAAAAGAAAAAAACTCCATGAGATGGGAAAAATTTTTTTTAATATTTCCAAATTATATATCAGATAAGGATCAAGTATCTAGAATATACAAGGAACCCTTACATATCAATAAATTTAACTGCTGAAAAATTAATTGAATTTTTAAATGGGCCAAGGATTTGAATAAATATTTCTTCAAAGAAGATACACAAATGGGCAATAAGCATACAGTAAGATGTCATTAGGAAGATGCAAATTAAAACCACAACTAGATACCACTTCCCATCTATTAGGGTGGCTGTAACAAAAAACAAACAAACAAACAAACAAAAACCAAACAAATAATAACAAGTGTAGTGAAGATGTAGAGAAACTGGAATTTTCATACATACTGGTGGGAATATAAAAAGGAGCAGATGCTTTAGAAAAAAGTATGGTAGTTTCTCAAAGGATTAACTATAGTCACCATATGACCTAGCAATTCCATTCCTAGGTATATACCAAGAGAACTGAAAACATGTGCACACAAAAATTTGTACATGAATTTTTATACCACATTATTCATAAAAGCCAGAAAGTGGGAACAACCCAAACATTCATCAGTTGAGGACTGGGTAGCATCTAAGGGAGTATTATTTAACCATTAAAAGGAATAAGTACTGACTTATGATTTACAACATGGCTGAACCCTGAAAATATGCTAAGTAAAAGAAGGCAGACACAAAAGGCCTCATGTTGAATGATTCCACTTATATGAAATGTCTGGAAGAGGCAAATCCATAGAGACAGAAATAAGACTGGTGATTGCCAGGATCTGGAAGGAGTGAATAAATAAAAATGTTCTGGAATTAATAGTGGTGATGGCTGCACAATTCTGTGAATGTACTATAAACCACTGAATTTTACACTTTAACTGAGCCGACTATATGATATATGAATTATATCTCACAAAGCTATTTTTTAAAAAAATAACAGAAGTATTTTAATTTATAAAATAAGTCCCATAAACACCTCCCACCTGTCTCCACAACTTCCAACAGTTAAATATGGACAACAGATAGGCACCTAGAAAGGTCATCCCATCCTTCTCCATGCCCGCAGCCGGGTTGCTCCAAAGTCACTACCAACTGGCAGTGTTGTTAACTAAGATCTTTCCAGGAGGTGACTGGGAAGCCACATCATGGGTCTGATTTTTCCTAACCAAACCACAAGCTCCCTTTGGCAAATTAAGCTGCTCCCTCTTACATGCCTGTAGGGAGAAAACGTGGAGGTGAACTAAGCTTACCTTAATGATCTCTTCATGCCCATCATTGGACTCCATGAGTTCTGAGGCCAGAGAATGGCTGGTTGAGCAGCTGGACACCATGGCATAGGTCTTCCTGCCCGCCTACCAGAGAAAAAAAGAGAGAGAAATCAGCTCAGAAATCATGACAAACTCCCCATCCCCCAAAGTAACAAATATACAAAGTGTCTGGAAGGAGATGCTCCAGAGCAGCAGCAGAGATGGTTTCAGGTGGCACTGGGATGAGGGGTCAGCAGCAAGGAGAACTGGCTAAGGAGAGCAGACCTCACCCTGCCAGAAACCTCAATACCTTCTGAGCTATGTGTTCCAGTGCATGTCCTGTTAGTTCACTCTGGAAAGTCAGCCTGAGAATGTCCACTGCCCTAATAATGACAATGACAGCAACAATAATCCCTCCCCTTTATGGTCTACTACTGATATAGGTGCACTTTTATGAGCCCTGTGGAATGGGCCTTATTATCACCATTTCACAAATAAGCACAGCTACAGTCTGGAGAGGTGGTACTAGCTTTCCTGAGAGCAGGTCACTCCTAGGTGATAGGATGTCTCTGAGGATTCTGACAGTGCACACTGTTCCACGCAGATCCAGACGGGCTACCCTGGTCCTCAGATTACAAGAAGCACGTTCCATCTATTCCCCTTTTCCCAACTTTGAAGAGGGCATCCCAGGATTGGTCATTCCCAGTCCAGAATTCCTGTACCTGACAGCCAACAAGGAAGTTACTGACGCACTTTATAAGACTAGGATATATTTCTTGAACCAAATTATACAAAGGTTCCTGAATTCAAACCCCATATTCTAAAAGCCACTCAGAAATTATCCAAACCAATGCAGGCAAGACAATAAGGTACTTACCTAGCACTTAGCCTTATTTCAAAGGAAGAAACAGGTTTCCTTTCTTAACTCAAAGAAGGTTTAAAAAAAAAACATATCAAGGGAGCCACGGCAATCAGACAACACAAAGAGATAGAGGCATCCAAACTGGTGAGGAAGAAGTTAAACTGTCACTATTTTCAGATGACTTATTATACACAGAAAACCCTAAAGAATCCTCCAAAAAACTACTAGAACTAATAACTGTATTCAGCAAAGCTGCAGGATACAAAATGAATACACAGAAATCTGTTGCATTCCCATACACTAACAACAAACTAGCAGAAGAGAAATCAGGAAAATAACTCCATTTACAGTTGCCTCAACAAGGAATAAACCTAACCAAGGAGGTGAAAGACCTATACTCTGAAAACTACAAGACACTCATGAGAAAAACTAAAGAAGACACCAATAAATGGAAATCTATCCCATGTTCATGGATAGTAAGAATTAATATTGTCAAAATGGCCATCCTGCCCAAAGCAATTTAGATTTAGTGCAGTCTCTATGAAAATACCAATAGGATTTTTCAGCCAACTAGAGCAGATAATCCTAAAACTCATATGGAACCACAAAAGACTCCAATAGCCAAAGCAATTCTGAGAAAGAAGACCAAAGCTGCAGGTATTTCACACCCTAACTTCAAGCTATACTACATAGCTAAAGTAATCAAAACAGGATGGAACTGGCACAAGAACAGATTCTAGAGTAATGGAACAGAACAGAGAAGCAAGAAATAACCCACACATATATGCTCAATTAATATATGACAAAAGGAGTCATGGATATACAATGGGGAAATGACAGTCTCTTCAGTAAATTTTGTTGGGAAAACTGGACAGCTACATGTAAGAGAATGAAACTGTCTAACTCCATACATAAATATAAACATGAAATGGATTAAAGACCTACATATAAGACATGAAGACATAAATCTCTCAGGAAAAAAACACTGGTAAAAAGCTCTTAAAAATAAGCGTGAGCAGTTTTTTATTGGACACATTTCCTTGGACAAGGGAAACAAAATAAAAAATGAACAAGTGGGACTCCATCAAACTAAAAAGCTTCTACAACAAAGGACACAATCAGCAGAACAGAAAGGCACCCTGCAATATGGGAAAATACATTTGGAAATGATTCATCTGATAAGTGGTTAACACCCAAAGTATAAAAAGAACTAATACACCTCAACACCCAAAAAAACAAATAATCCAATTAAAAAATGGGTGCAGGACATGAAAAGACACTTCCCCAAAGAAGAAATACAATTTGCCAACAGGCACATGAAAAGACGCTCCACATCGCTAATCATCAGGGAAATACAAATTAAAACCACAGTGAGATTCCACCTCACACCAGTTAACATGGCCACTATCCAAAAGAAAAGAAATAATAAATGCTGACAAGGATGAGGAGAAAATAGGAACCCTCCTACACTGTTGGTGGGAATGTAAATTGGTGCAACTGCTCTGGAGAGCAGTACGGAGGTTCCTCAAAAAGCTCAAAATAGAAATACCATTTGACCCAGTAATTCCACCCCTCAGAACTTACGCAAAGAAAACAAAATACCTGATCCCAAAAGATATATGCACCCCTTTGTGTATCACCGCACTATTTGCAATAGCCAAGACATAGATGCAACCTAAGTATCCATCAATAGATGAATGGAAAAAGATGTGATACATATACACAATGGAATATTATTCAGCCATAAAAAGAAAAGAAATATTGCAACAACATGAATGGAGCTAGAGGGTATTATGCTCAGTGAAATAAGCCAGGTGGAAAAAGACAAGTACCAAATGATTTCACTCATATGTGGAGTATAAGAACAAAGAAAAAAGTGAAGGAACAGGGGGGAGGAGCCAAGATGGCAGCATGAGTAGAGCAGTGGAAATCTCCTCTCAAAACCATATATATTTTTGAAAATACAACAAATACAACTATTCCTAAAAGAGAGACCAGAAGATACAGTACAACACCCAGGCTACATCTACATCTGCAAGAACACAGCGCCTTGCAAAGGGGGTGAGATACAAGCCGCAGGCCTGGCGGGAACTGAGCACCCCCGACCCCAGCTCCTGACGGAATGAGAGGAGTCAGAGTGGGGAGGGAGAGGGAGCCCAGGACTGCTAAACACCCAGCCATAGCCATCCACGCTGGAAGCTCAGACACACAGTGCGTGGGGTGCTGGGTACTAGGGAAACAGGACGGTAAATTCTGCGATCGGGTCCCCACAGCCAGCGCCCCTGGGACAAAAGAAAAGCAAGTGTTTTTTGAAAGTCTTAAAGGGACAGGGGCCTCACAGCTGGATGGAAGAGTCCCGGCGCACTCAGCCCAGAGGCTGGGAATCCCGGGGAACTCCAGGAACCCTAACCTCCTAGGAGGCAGTGGAGCTCTGAGGCTCCTCAGAGCGATAAACAGCCTTCCAGCCGTTCCGCCTCCTGCACGGCTCTGCCATAGCAGAGCAGCAGCCTGAGTCTGGCCATGCCCACAGCAGTCGCCCGGGCCAGACTTAGAGGCCCCGTCTGCATGCAGCTGCCCAGCACAAGCCCCTAGGGGTCGCCGTTCTCACAGGAAAGGAAGGACACCAACGAGCAAGAAGGGACATTCTCCCAGCTGACACATGCGCCAGCTCCTGATAACTACCTCTATCGCCATGAAAAGGCTGAAGAATTTGATGCAGACCAGACTAACAGAGACAACCCCTGAGAAGGAGCTTGGGGAGACAGACCTAACCAATCTTCCTGAAAAAGAATTCAAAATAAAGGTCATAACCATGCTGATGGAGCTGCAGAGAAAAATGCAAGAGCTAATGGACAAAATAGAGAGGGAGAGTACAGAAATAACACAATCTCTGGAAGGACTTAAAAGAATGGATGAGATGCCAGAGGCCGTTAATGGAACAGAAACCAGAGAACAGGAATGCAGAGAAACTGACACAGAGAGAGATAAAACGATCTACAGAAATGAAAGAATAATAAGAGAACTGTGTGACCAATCCAAAAGGAACAATATCCGTACTATAGAGATTCCAGAAGAAGAAGAGAGAGAAAAAGGCATAGAAAGTGTATTTGAAGAAATAATTGCTGAAAACTTCCCCAAACAGGGGGAGGAAATAGTTGCTCAGACCAGGGAAGCACACAGAACTCCCAACACAAGGGACCCAAGGAGGACAATATCAAGACACATAATAATTAAAATGGCAAAGATCAAGGACAAGGACAGAGTTTTAAAGGCAGCTAGAGAGAGAAAAAAGTTCACCTGCAAAGGAAAACCCATCAGGCAATCATCAGACTTCCCAACAGAA